TGAAAGCTCCACAGAGAATACTGTAGTCACTATTGCATATATTTTTGCATGCCTAAAACTGGAGAAATAATTACCTAATAAAAATAAATTAATTGTTGATGCCGGGAACTTTTACACATTTATGCATTTTTTTTTTTATTAGGAGGGGATGTGTTGAATTCTGGCCAAAGCTGTTAGCTGCTTTTTTATGAGACGCAAAGAAGGAACAGACTGATTTAGGGGCAGAGTTCAATTTTTTCCAACAGGCCTTTTTTGTTTCACAGTGTTTGCATTCATTTTATTATACTTGTATTTAGACTTCAGATGCATGTGACTTAGGGCCTCTGTAAATACATAACTTTTTATTAAGACACAGCTATCTGTAGAAGTGATTGAGTAAAATACCTCCACCTTTAACTTTGAGACCAGCCGCAAGCTTCCTTCTCTCAGGCTGCCGCTCCATGCCATAGCCATGTGATCCAGCATCATTTTGTTCTGTACAAACAGAAAATAAGTAATTCCTATAAAAACAACAACTTGAAATAATGCTCAGCACGTGGAGAAGTAGGAATCTGTTCTGCATCTGTCTGGTGGACAGCAGCTTTAAGAGCATTCCTTGGCATATTGTGGAAAACAAGAGAGCCCCTAGAGAACATCTGTGCTGCTTCTCCAACTGACTCATTTCAAACCAAACCTCCTAATCTTTTATGACCACCCCCTGTCTCCTGGTATGCCTGTCGCTGCAGCACCTATGCAGAATAGACACATTCTATAGATCACCACTCAAGACACAGGGACTTCATTTTTCTCTGCTCAGTCTTTGCCTATACCTATCTTGCATCTTCATTCTTTTGATTGCTATTGCCATCCTTACCAGTTCCCAGCTGGGAGCCTTCCCTAAGGTAGATTAGATATAAAAAAATCTTCTGTGCACTCACATATTTCAGATTTACCTTCCATACCTGACCCAGCATTCCCTGCCCCACCTCTTAGCAGGAAGGCAGTGCTTTCACCTGTTCAGCAGCAGAGCTGCAGCATTCCTTGTGCACGCTCCCTGACTGCTGATGCTCCTCAAGAAGGACATCTTCGTCAGGCCCGCACTCAGGGTCTCCTTTGTTTTCCAAAAAGCTCTCTGCCTTGCCACTCTGTGCTTCATCTCTTCCAGCAGATCCTGTTCCACAACCACCAGAACGCAGAATTCTGGAGTCACTGCACTCGGTGCCCTCCACAGCATGACCCCCTGGCTCTTCGGCAGCGTCAGTTTTCATTTGCACAGATGGTGCAGAAAATGAGTCAGGTAAAGCCCCACTGTGTCCCAGCGAGAGGAGAGCAGGGGTTGCACCCAGGGAAGGCAATGCAGGCATGGGAACCTGTGACTCAAGCTGACTAGGTGCACCAGCTGAAACAGCACTTAGGGGGATAAGCAGCACCTCACTTAAAGAAAGCCCCTGCTGGGGCAGCTGGCCTTCAAAGTGAGGCAGCTTGGGTGGCACAGTTTTTGGAGGAGAAATCAAAGTGTGTTCGAGACTTTGGCCTTCTGCATTCATTCGCTGAAGCTGTGTCCCCCCTGAAGCCTCATCGCCTCCAGATGGTACAGGAACAAAGGGCTCCAAGTCTCTTGCAGAGGACTGTAGTTTTGCATCTTTGAGGAGTCCAAACTCCTCATCTGGTAAGTGGAAGTCTCTGATTTCCAGCACTGAGGGCAGCCACTTGGGACTGAGCATCTTGTTCTGAAAGTGAAAGGGGGGCTCCAGGACACCAGGCTCCACAAGATGGCCAAGAGGAGCCGGACCCTCTAAATCCCGCTGCTGACTGTTCCTTCTCTTACCTGGGAACAGGATAAGAGACAGCAGGAAGAGAGCATCACCTCCTGCAAAAGCTTCACCCTATCCTCTCACTTATTATAGGAAAATAATACCCCAATTCATGTTAGAGCAGCAGTGAAGATCATTGGAAGCAGCATGTTTTTGGGCACGTAACGCACTTCCCAGGCAGTTCAAGTCACTCTGCTTTCAGGCTGCAGCTTGATACCACAGAGGCTGTGAGACTTGACTGCATGCCCAGCTGACTTGTTCGGTTAAAAATGCTTCCCCTCCCAACAACTGCTGTTTCCAGAGCACTTTTGGAAACTTGTATTCTGTAATTCCTTAGAGGGGGGGAATGTGCTAATCTTTATCTGTGCCAAGCACTCTTGTTAGCACATAAGCATTGCTGATGCCTAGATACTCCAGCAACTGGTGTCCAAAAAAACAGGACAGACATCTGTGCACCTCCCTCACCTGCATGCATGCATCATGTGGACTCATGCAGACCTCACCACAGATTTTTACAACACAGGCCTGCGTGTTTTCCTCATAGTTCCTGATGTGTTTCACAACAGTGGACAGCTGAGGCCATGCACAGCAGAAGCAGCTCAAGGACATAAAAGGTCCTGGAAAGGAGCTTTTGAGAACTGTTAAGAGGAACATCTTGCCTTCCTTTTTGTGGATATAAATATGGAAAACAAGGCAGCATGCGTCTTTGGAAGGATCTCCACACGCACACATGTTGGAATCACATCACCCATGCTGTTAACAAGACAATGGAACAGCAAAAGCCCCAAAGGTTAAATTCAAGACAACAAAATAAGGCTGGGCTGGAACAAGACCCAAGGGGCAGAAGCAAGAGCACTGGGCCCCATACAATCACTCTCTCTGCCTAGCACTGGTGTTCTGGTTGCAAGGAGTTTTTGATTTCTCTAAGCTACGATTCAGTCACGTACCTTTTGATGCTCGTCCCGCCTTCCGCTTCAGAGATGAGCCTGGGGGCTGGTGCACAGGTAGAGATTCTTTATCTGCTGGAAGCTTCTGGGCACTGCAGTCTTTCTGCACACGCCGAGTCCTAGCCTGTTCTGCAACTTGTCCAGCAGCCTGATGCATGTTGACTTTGGCTTCTAGGCCCCCTATTAAGTGGGTGAAAGTTTCATCCCCATGGTTTAGGAAATGACTTCCTTGGCAGGGACTCTGAACATGTTCTGTGCAAACCTTATGGCATGTGTCAAATGCTCTGCTTCCACCAGGAGGAAGATCAGCTGCAGTTGGCCACATAATGTGAACCATTTCTGTCTCTTCTGTCCCGCCAACTGCAGAGACAGGCACTCTTGCCTTGCCTGTCTGCAGCTTCTCAGCATCCCCCTCGCAATTTTCCTTCTCACTTTGAGAATCTTTTGACAAGCGAGAATGGACTTCCTTTCCTGTCATGGGGCGCAAGCTCTCGGGAAGTTCTAGTGACACGTTCCCTGCAGGTTTGCAGGCAGGGCCATCTCTGCCCCTTCCTCTCCTTTGGAGCCTTCCCTTACCTCGTTTGGGGGCAATGACGCTGTCCTGAGAAGTAGGCCCAGTGGAGGTACCACTCTCATCTGAGAGAAGGAGAGATTTCTGGGAGGAACTTTCTGAACTTACAGTACCAACTTCTCTGCCTACAGCTGGGACCAGAGCACCCCCCAACTGCACATCACTTCCAGCTGTCTCTTGAGGGGGAAACGGCTGATCTGAATTTGTTTTGATCTGTTTACATTTGCTTCGCACGCCTTTCCTGCTCCTGCCCCTGCCCCTGCCCAGCTGGCTGAGAATTACAGCTTCCAGGTCTACCTTCCTCTGGCAGTTAGACATACGCCGAGTTGTCCTAACATAGTACTCCACAGGGAAGAGGAGTCCTTCCACCACTGTACAGGAACTCAGTGCACTTTCTGCTTCAGGAATCACTGCTTTTTCAAGGAGAGAAGACTCTGCCTCAGGATGAGCCTCTTGATTCTCCAAGGATTTTTGAACATCATTACTCTGAAGAGAGTCCATAGTGAGAAAGCTCTTAGTGTCAACCTGGCTGCTTTCTTTACGGCTTCTGCTCTCAATCACAGGGCTCTTTCTGCTGTCTAGCAAGGGTTTATTTTCTGAAGTTAAATGCAAAATTCTACAGACTTCTCCCTGATCCACATCTGCACTATCATTTTCAATTTGGTTTTCTATATATACAGGTTCTTTTCCTGCATCGTCAGTGTTTTCACATGAAACAAGCATTTCATTCTCTGAACACTGGGTTGTTGGTTTACAGAGGTCCTCTGCATGTAGAGACATCATCTGCTGGGTGTTGTCATCATCCATCGATGCACATAGAAGTTGCCTCGATGCTTCGAGACAGCCATTTTGGGGGGACATTTTCTGCAAGTCTCCTTTTAACAGTGGATCTTGAGGAGTTAAACTGTTTCCTTTGTGCCTCACAGCAGTTGACTTGGGGGAATTTAGAGGGCTCTTCTCTGTGTCTGAGATATTTCTTCTCTTAAATACTGGTGACACTGTCCTAGCGGTTCGATTTTCCAATAACTCACTAGCCACAATTTCTAGCCCATCACAAACTGATTTCTTCTCTTCTGACACGAAAGTTGTCTCCTGTTTCATTTCAGTTCTATGCAGTTGGTTTTGGTCTCTCTCAGAACTAGGTCTACCAGGGCAAGAAAGGACATCTTGCTGGCTACCATTTGTATCTTCTTCCCATGGACTTTCCTGCAAGCTAATTTCATTATTGAAGCATTCAGGTTCCAGTTTAAATGACACAGACAGTTTCTTCTTGGTGCACAGGTCAGAACAACTATTAGTCTGTAGCCAGCATGTTTCATATTTATTGGGAGGCATCTTATTCAGAGATCCTGTTGAAAGAAATGCAACTCGTGAATAGCATTCTGGGAGCAGAATCTCCTTGTGACTTATGGCAACACAAAAACCAAAAATTTTTTTTAGCAAAAGTGGAAAATTAAGGACTCCTGGAGAAATTATTCCCTAAGCATTTTATATTTTAGGCAAAGAAAGCAGGCACACAAAAACATTATGTTCTGTTTCCTAACAGCACACCAAAAATATACATACATATTTAATAAGAAAATGATGCTCTAGAAGCTAGGTAGTACAGGCAGTCCTCGACTTGCAACTTTTCAAGTTACCTTTCGCACTTGCAACATTCATAAATTGACACCCTGTTTTGACTTTCTGACATCACTTTCGACTTTACAACACTTGATCTGATGCGACACCACACCAGCGAACAAGTTTGCTGCGTCACCTGTCTCCCTGGAGAACATCTGTCCAAACTTCCTTGGACACCTTCTTTAAGAAAGCAGACAATACTCCAGAAAAACCTGCAGCCGTGACTCCTGAGAAGACTCCAGCCAAAAACCCTTCAAAAAGTCTAACAAGAGCCCTTCAAAAAATCCAGCAGTCACCTCAAAGAAGTCCTTCCAAATCAATATGACTGCTATTTACAATATAAACTCATTAATGTAGCTATATTACTCATCTGTAATTGATTGAGTACAAAATTTTGGGGTATTTTTGGTGAAAATAGGGCATTGGGCCTTGGTTCAGGAACCAATCCCCATTTATAACATTGTTTCTTATGAGAAAATTGGTTCCGAGTTATGACGTTTCAATTTAAGACACGGTTTTCAGGAACCATCTGTGTCGTAAGTCCGAGGACTGCCTGTACGGTATATTAATCAGCTCTGGAGTCCTCACTTCCCTCTGAAAGGGATGGACATTCATAGCTTCATCCTTGTCACCATCAGACCTGCAAACGTTGGCCTAACTGTCCATCTATACTTGAGAAAGCCCCAACAGAGGAACACCAGGGTACTACTATCCTGACCGAAGCAGATCCGGAATGGGATGGGATAGCATGAGGCCAGGATAATGTTGGACGCTATTTAGCAGCACTACATGTTGTGTGTGAAGTGGGCAGACGGGGCAGCACATAGACAGCAAGGGACAGCTCAAATCAGAAGTGAAGAGTTGGCAGAGCTGGCAGGGTCCTCAGGGCCGCGCACGGCACGGGAGAGTGAAGGGGCACAGACAGATCGGCCTGCAACGTGGACCAGTGGGAACAGCTACAGCACCAGGATCAGGAGGAACAGGAGGTCTCTACAAGACCAAGCTGTTAAAACACATCTCAAGTTGCCTTTTAACTCTGTACCTGTGAAGTCCTTCTCTGTCTCCTCTTGTCTGAGCAGCCTGTTTTGTTCCGCGACCGTCTCCTGCACATGCGTTTGAACCGTCTCAGCTCTCTGCGCGCGCTGCGGGAACACGACCGAGCGCACGTCTTTATTTCCTGCGCCATTGTTTCCGGTGAAGGAGAAATGCTTCCGCGCGGTTGGAAACGCATCCTCCCCCAGTCTCAGCCACACACGTTTGCCTGGCACCAAACCTACTGTTCGGGAGTGCGGCGGCCCGTCAAGTGTCGTCGTTCAGAACGAGACAATGGGATCGACCTACCTGCAGCCTGGTCAGCGTTTTGCTGTACTCTCGTTTCAGCAAGGCTAACTTCTTCTTCAGCTAGAAAACCAAAGACAACAGACCACACGTGTTAACGGGATGCTGACCATCCTAGACAACGTACCGCAGTGTGGCACTTTAACTCTGGAGAATTCATAAAAAGCAGGAAATGTCAGTTCTCCTACAGACCAACGCTTCGTTCTCAGCAGTTTCCCCCAACGGAGACAGAATGGTTTACAAGCAGCGTTTCGCCAATCACGCCAGCAGACCGACGGATGCGGCGGTGGCATGTAAACGCCAGTTGCCCTGTCCTTGCAGCCCTGCAACGAATGGCGCCTGCCTCCCACCAGGGCACAGCCAGCCCCGGGGCAGGGCAAGGGGAAGAGGCAGGCAGGCGCTCGCATCATGCCCAAACCAGCCGCACTAAGGATGCAGGCGACAGTGATCGAAAAGCGGTGTGATGCTCCGCAACATCCTCGTGGGATGCACAGTGGGACAAGGGTTTCGGGGCCGGGAACCAAGATTTAGGGGCCGAGGAGGACCCAGAGCTGTGCCTCGGCCGCACGGGCCGCAGCTCCCGCCTCTCCCGGCAGCCTCGGGGGCGCTCAGAGAAACCTCCGGCCGGCCGACCTACATCGCCCGCCCCGCAGCTGCGGCCGGCGAGGGGAGGAGGGGAGCCCCCGGCCCGCCCGCACCTGCTCCTTCTCGAGGCCGCTGAACCCAGCGGGGCCCGCCACCTCCATGGTCGACCGCGCCGAGCCACCCGCTGAGGCAGCCCGCACGCTGATTGGCTGCCCGGGGCCACGAGCAGCCATTGGGCGAGTCTGTTGTGGGTGGAAATGACGTCTCTCCCGCCGGGCGCGGCGGTTGCCGGGTCAGCGGAAGGAGCGGCCGGCAGGTCCTGCTCAGGCATTGGCTGCGGGCGGCGGAAGTGACGTGAAGGGGCGGAAGCGGCGGTGGCGGCGCCATGGAGCTGAGCGAAATGCTGTACAACAAGTCCGAGTACATCGAGACGGTGCGGCTGGGATCGGGATCGGGCCCAGGATCGGGCCCCGAGGCTGCAGGGATCAGGCCCCGGCGTCGCGGGGATCGGGGCCGGCGTAGGGATCGGCCCCCGAAGGAGGGCGGGGCAGGG